GCCGCCTCTGAATCCCTAGAAAAAAAAAAAGGACGTCTGTTGCCATTTGTTTCGCTCATCTTGGCCCCGAACACCTGGTCACGCCACGGCTTTTCCCAATCTAATTCTAGTCCAAAACGAGCCTCCCCTGGTTGCACTTTCGCTGCCAAACGCCGCCTCAGAATCCCTAGAAAAAAAAAGGACGTCTGTTGCCATTGGTTTCGCTCATCTTGGCCCCGAACACCTGGTCACGCCACGGCTTTTCCCAATCTAATTCTGGTCCAAAACGAGCCTCCCCTGGTTCCACTTTCGGTGCCAAACGCTGCTTCTGGATCCTTATATAGAACAAAGATAGTGCTATTTTTCTCGCGCATCTTGGCCCCGAACCCCTGCTCACGCAAACAGCTTTTTCTCATCTTCTAGATCCCCGAACACCTGACCCCGCCACAGCTTTTCCCAATCTAATTCTGGTCCACAACGAGCCTCCCTGGTCGCACTTTTCGGTGCCAAATGCTGCTTCTGGATCCTTATATGGAACAAAGATAGTACCTGGCCCTGCCACGAACACCTGGTCACGAGCCTCCCCTGGTCGCACTTTCGGTGCCCAACGCTGCTTCTGGATCCTTATATAGAACAAAGCTAGTACTATTTTTCTCGCGCATCTTGGCTCCGAACCCCTGGTTCGTGCTGAGACGAAGGAGCGCAATAGGTTGCGGTTCCAGTGATGCGTGTGTTCGAGCAGCATGGAGCAGTGGAAGCGTCTGTTGCCTGCAGGTTCGTGCTGAGACGAAGAAGCGCAAGGCTCCCGCACCTGTAATCCCTCGCGCGCTCCCCCTCCTTCAGCCGGGGTCGGCGGATTTCTTCCACTCAGCTTCCGGCCTGCGAATGTAGCCCACTTTGCCAGGACGGAACAAATGTCGACGCCTGAGTTGCAGCCGCAGTCGTAGGAAAGAGGAGCCTGCATTGGAATAGTGTAAATTGGTGTAGTGCACAGAGCCTGTGCTGTGTTGCTTTCACTCCCTCTTCTGCTCAACTCGGAGGTTTTCGCCATTGATGACGACGGACAGACAGAGATACTCGGTGACTTGGTATTTAACAGACTAGGCTCTACAGATAGACTTCGGTGGAGTGCATGTGTATACCGTACTCAACGTGTGTAGACATGCCTCGCAGATCTCACATTGTATGTCGCGTCTTCGCATATTCCGAATGGATGAAGTACTCACTTAGTTGAATTCGACCACAGTTTTCTGCAAAGATGTGCTGCAAATGTCGAGACTTGCCCTTTCCTACCATCATTGTGAAATTGCAAGTCTAGCCCTGCAGCCACTGATTCTTGGTGAGGCCGGTAGTCATATGTGTGCTTTCATAGGTGTGCTCTTACATGTGTGCTTCCGTGTTTGTGCTCTTACATATATGGTGTCATATGCATGGGGATGTTGCAGGGATCCCTGCATAAGGCAATCACTCCATGCCCAAACCTTCCTCCCCCCTTTTGTTTCTGTGACCAGGTGGTCCAGCTTGAAATCGACCGGTTAGCTTACAGTAAGCAGGCAAAAAGTTGCTTCCACCTTACCCGCCGGCCCCAGATGGGTGTGGTGGTAGGCACAATAAAGCACACGAGTGATCAATTCAAAATTTGTGCACCATCCCGTGTGATGGTTGAAGGGAGGATGTCCAGGCTGCGATCAGCTCAAGGAGGCTCCTTGACTGGTAGCAGCCTGCTGCACAGCAGGTGCAAGCAGCCCATCCAGTCTTGCACCAATGAAGACGATGGATGTGTGCTGGTGATATCGATCTGGGACGCCGGATCGAGATACCTGCTTGGTTGTGGCTTTCGTAGTTATATCCCACTCTAAGTTCACACATTGCAGAGATCGTTGTTGAGGTTTTCTGAGCGTGAGCGGCGGCACAACGCTGCATTGTTACCTGAGGTTCTTAAGTTTCTTTTGACCAAGGTTTCTTCAGGGCTTGGAGCAATCAAGTCGTGCGTGCTGTATCTCGTGAGCCCGAAGAGTGCTCCCCGTGGACTGGCCGTGCCGGTGAATGCCAGTATGCCAGCAGTATGTCATCATGACAAGACAATGATACAAACACCGATTGTACAAGTTCTCATACTAAGCTCAAAGTACACAACCCATAGCGGGCCACAGTCGGCCGGTAGGCACTGGGCAAACGTGGCGTAGCGGCCCAATGCAAGTGAATCCTGTGTTGACCTTAACTTAACTTCTTTCCTCTTGTCCCGGCTTAGGGAGGCTACGTTTCGCCTTCGTTCTTTGTTTGTTTGCAGGTAGTAATTTGTTTGTTCTTCCCAGGTTTCTTGTGCTTTCTCTTCCTTCCCTTGTCCCTTCTTCCCAGTCTTTCGTTGTCCGGAAGTTTCATGTTTGAACAGTTTCCGGGTTACCTGACTACTTTGTCGCTTTCTACATTTTTGCCTTCGCCTTCATCATCAGTTTCTTCTTCTTGAACTTCCTCTTCGTCCGGGACTTCGTCGGTGCTCCTTGGGTGCAGGTCTGCTTCCCTAGCTGTGCTCCCCATATTCGTGCTCTCATGTGTGGTCTTTCATTTGTTTCCTCGCATGTGTGTGCTCTTGTACGTAAGCTTCAAGTGTGTGCTGTGTGCTTCCACATTAGGGTCGTGGACTGGGTGCTCACATGTGTGTTCACATTTGGCAAACGATGCTGGCATGTCGAAGAATCCAGTGAAGCTGACAGTAGGATTTGCTGTGTCGTTCTTGCAGCTCCTGCCACCGAGAAATCCTGCATGCTGGGCTCATGCGGGCACAGAGCCGCACTTGCCCGAGGCAGCTCTCTGATCGTGGGCAAACCCGGAGGCAACGAGCAGGGGCTCCCAGATGTGTAGTTTGATTTTGCTCATTTTGCGTCGGTGCAATGTGGCCTCTGTATTCCCCGCGGTTAATTTCGCAAACCAATCAATATCATTTTGATGAACCCCCGAAAGAGCCTGATGTGCTGCAATTGTCAGCGAACAGCAAAGGCCAAAAATCGGGCTACTGCAACAAAGCCTTTTGTGAAGCTGCGTAGGTGTGTAGAGTTGCCGTCCATCGACCGCAGACGATTAATGACGGCAGGTCAACAAATCTTCATGCCAAAAACCAGAGAGGGTTGACACTTGTTTAAGACACTCCCTTGGTCTGGGAAAAGCATAGAGGCAACCTTAAAGAATCAACATGTAAATACCGCAAGAAACAGCCGGTTCAGCTGTCAGAGTTTCATCCTTCAAACTGGTCGTGACTATCAAGCAAGTAGGCCTGCTTGGCAGGAACACGTTCATCGACTGAGGGAGATCACACAGGAAGCAGCTGCCACCGAAACAAACTACGAATGCCAAGTGTAAGCCGCAGCAAAAGACAGGTCGCCACCAGGACATTGAGAAAATATGGAGCACCAGGATCTGGCTCCGTCAGTCTGTGATCGGAGTTCGGGTTTGATTGAGAGACTCAGCCATTTGGTGTCCCCTTGTCAGAGAACACTGGGCAAAGATGCATCTTATGGATTCGTTGGCCGGTGGTTTAGGATTTATGAGGGGTTCTTGCCAAGCCCGATGCTCGGCGCCCTATAGCTATGAACATTAGATCGGGTAGGTAGGTCTATCATATTTTTGCAAAAGAACGGCTGAGGGTTCATGACGAATATTTCTGCAGTCGCCATGCAGCAGATAGCTTGGAAAGCTTGGCAAGCAGGGCTCACGGCCGCACTTGGAACGTCACCTGCAGAAAAAGAAACTTGCTGGAAGTGAGTATTCAAGGAAGGAGTTGGCTGTTGATGGTGATGTTTTGTTCTAATCACCTGCCGCGGGCAATTTTGGAAAAGAGACTACCGGCACAGTCAACACTCGATGCAGCTGGATGCATCTTATATTGCGACAACCTATCCCTTATGAAATGACTACCCTTTCCCCACAACGTTCATATACTTGAAAGACACTGCTCCACTTTGGGTGGTACTCTATATGGTTGATATGGTTGTCTCAGAGCTACTTTGACCTTTTACGCGCAGGATATCCTTTACGTAATATGTTTATTTATTTATTTTTATTTTTTTTAAATCTTGGCTTGGGTCATTTTGTCAACTCCAAAGCCTTTGGAAGGTTGACTTTGTGAAGCATACACAAGCCACAAAATGACAAGCTTTCTTCTTTGATTCTAAGAAACCTTTCATGTTGAGACCTCTGGCCATTCCTTGGACCTCTGCGGGTGGGTGCCCTCTCCAAGGTCCAACCTCTACATCGGCACCAACCAGCCTTGGAATTTACAGACTGGCCTCTACCAGGGGGAGTCCATGTTCGAGCTGACAGACCCCCTGTATCGTCCAAGGCCAGGCACTCGTGACGCTGACCTCTAACATGCGAAGTTGATACTGGCGAGAAAAGTGTGGCGGGTGGGATGATGCGACAATCGGACAATGTATGACGATGCCATCTTACAACCTCCATGATGTCACCAACACACTCGCAATTCGAGAAAGATGGAGTGTGCATATTACTGTAGTTATTTACAGTAGTTATACACATGAGCATATCATGAGCATGACTCTCAATGAGATCGAACAAGGATGTTAAAACAAGCATCTTCAAGGTGACTCTACTTTGCTGTGAACAGCAGGTTCGACGCACTTGATCAAGCGCGCAGGATACGGGTCTACAACAATCCTGGCATCTACACTGGTGCAGCATTCTTCTCTGCTGTCCTCCTGCCCAGTGCTGCTGCAAGAAGCCTTGTTTCTTCTTTTTCAGCCAGGACACTGTTTGAAAAAGACAGGTCGTTTTTGAGACAGGCCCTCTTGCCGAGACAAGTCCCTTCTTTTCCACCGCCGTGGTCTCTCCGTTTTCCACCTCAGGTGTCGATCCTCGGAAATACCCTCATGGGCAGCAGTCTTTCAGTCGAGGGCTGAGTTGGGGTTCGGATCCTCGCAGGGCTGAGTTGGAGTTGGAGTCGAGAGTTGAGTAGTTGGCGATTGAAACGAAGCTAAGAGGGACGAATGACACCTTCTCGACTTGGCTGCAACTGCTGCAGTTCTAGTGCTGTTTCTTGTTTTTCATTCGCTTGTTTGGCTGGTTGTCATAATAGGTTCTTATGACATGTCCTGACAGAAGCTGTGGCCGATCTTCCCCCCAAGAGCTGCGACGAGGTCTTTGGCCCTTGGATTCGATTGGGCGGAGAGCTCTCAGTGGTCTGCCTGCATTAGAGCCGCATCATGCTTCCACATCTTTTTCCCCACAGGTTCAACAAAGGAAAGCATTCGGGGCACTCCTGGACTATCGCCAGATACCAAAAGAGGTATATCGAGGGGCTAGGATGGATCCACCATTGAAACCTGTTTGGATTGCTCAGGCAAGAATTCTTCCTGAGTACAGTGCCTTCTTCTTCCAAACTATTTGGATGTTGTCTTTCTGGATGTTTCTTCATGGTGCAATAAACAGGCCTGAGCCAGGATTCGTCAACTATTGGGAATCCCAACTAGCGGAAGTTGCCACACAAGGTGATCGTGTGCAATGCGAAGTTTTTAAGTATTTATATGAGCAACCGCCAAAACGACCAATGACCATACAATTTAGTAAAGAGCGGTTGTAATTTTCAGGAATTGTGCAAAAACCAGCAAACGCAATAGGCCCCCCTCAAAAGCGATAAACTTGCTGAATCATGTGCTCTACCTGACAGTACGTTTTGGCAGATGCTCATGTGCAACCAACCTGTTCAAGGTTTCCCCATCAAAACTCAACATTGACCCCGCCCGAAAGCGTGATTGAGTGGGCACTCAGATCAGCGTTGATCCTATGATTTGTCACACACTTTAGAATAGACAGTTGAAGCAGTTAGACATAGTTGAAGACTCCTTTGCTGTTACACTTCCGCTCTTATGCATGGAAGCCGGGGACTAAAAAAGGCCTAAATACATGGCACTGCAAAGCTATATGTTTGGCTGCTATGTTAGGGAAAGGTCTAAAAAATGTAGGAAAGAAGCCTGACATGGAAGCAGAATGAATCCATGGAAATGCACAGTTTGCACCGCTAACATGGAAGCCGGCCATAGCCGGCCTGCATGTGTTGCCTCCTGGTGTGTGCCTTCCATGTTAGTGAAGCGCGCTCCGTAGGCAACATTTTTAGTTAGTGTCTTTTCTTTAGTTGGGGCTCTTCCAACATATATCCCAATTTTTTTTGCCTCTCTGCTTCTACGTATGTCTGCAGAAGAGTATTTGATTGTTGATTCGATGGAGATATTTGTATTGCCAATCTAGCATGAATCGGATGAACTAGCCTCACTGAGTCCGACAGTTTTTAGGCACAGGAACTGCCCAATAGTCAGCTACGCCATGTGGTGCTTCAATGCATCTTCTCCAACCGCTCATGGAAAAACAGAGTCCTTTATGATTCCTTCTTTGTGCGGCAAGAGTTCAGTGCCCTTCATTGCGCTGCACTCCTGATCGACTGTTGTAGGTCTTACGACGAACTAACCTCGGGAGCTCTTTGTCGGTGCACAGCTACATGCGTTCCTTGCTCAACTGAGGGGAGAAAGAAGGATTTGGTGGTTGCTTTTGTGGTTTTCCCTGGGTCGGAACATGAATACTGCATGCGCTTAGTTTCATGCCCAAGGGGATCCAAGATGCATGCTTTGATACTCGATTCCATCCAACTCTTCGACACTGAGCTTTGACTGTTTGCGCCTCGGCAAGGCTTTGGAAGCTTTTCATCCATCTTTGGAGCCTCGCGAATTGATTTGACGCCCTTGATGCTTGACTCCGTAGGCGCGGTTGGGCCTACTCTCACAATGTCATATATGCCATATATGCCATGAACAAGGATTGTGACGGATTGATAGAAGCAGGCTAGAACCTTCTCTTTTTGTCCAATCTTGTGTAATAATCGCCTTGGAATGGTGGGGTGCATGAACTTGAACACACAGCAAGGGCCATCCTGTTCATCCAAATTCACGATGTTCGTAGTGATTTTCCAGCTTTGACCCGCTTGAAACAGATGACTTGCCACACCTGATGGGTTCCTCACCCTGGCTGAAACAATTCCATTACCCTTTCTGAGTCTTGTGATCAGGTATGGGCAGTTCTCCATCCATCAGGAACTCAGCCCGCAGCAGACCTAGTTTGGTCCGTTTGTGACCGGGGTGTTCAAGGGTTGGGCTGCTTAGTTCTCCTGCTTTTGGCCATGCTGGCAGTTTGTTGGAGAATGTGAAAGACTGAAAAGGGCTCTCTTCCCCGTAGTAGCCGTGCTCATGCAGCCCTCATGTTGGATGCACAATCACAATGGCACAGACCGCAAGTACAGCATAGTGCATAGTGCATAGTACAGCTATTCGACAGGTCTGTCTGCACCTCTCTGATGTAGATCCGCTTCGTCGATATTAGAAGCTGATGCAGCCAGACACCGCAGCGAGTTTGTGGGGAACGACCAAAGCCAAGTACCACAATCACTTTTGGGGCAAAAGGGAGTGGCCACCTCAGGGTGGCTTGAAGGCTTGTGACTTAGTCAGCTTGCTTGGAAAGATTCCATTCTATGGCTCGAGGTCTTGGTTTGCTTTTTTCAGTCTTCAGCTTGAGCCGTCTGGGAAGCCTGCTGCCAGCGCGGCAGCTCAGGGCAAGAACATTTGCCAGACTTCTTTGCATTGTGATCCCATCAGCCTGTTTGCCGATAGAATCTGCAGGTGAATCATTGATAAGGGTCTTCTTTCACAGACCTGAAGAAAAGCTGAATCATGAGGACTAGGAAATGACAGGTGAATTTGCCTATCCTTACTTCAATTGAATTGCCTCCAATGATCCGCTTCGAACTCAACAACTTTGGATCTCCATCCGCCCCGAACAGGTTCTGGACCTCGTCCATCTTGGTAGTTTGATGTCTCTGCGGAGCTTTGCCAGGCGGATCCGCGGTGTGATCCACAGAATCACAAGATGAGACACATGCTATGGATATCTATGGATTTGTTTAGCCATCATGAGTCGTTGAAGGATGTTCCGTGTTTAGCTCACATGTTGCTCAGAGAGGTACAGCTGCACAGCTCTCCCATGTACATACTGTAGGTCTCACTGTGGGTGTATTCTCCAAGAAGAGGCTCTACAGTATACTATAGTATAGTATAGGGTTCAGGTTAGCTGAACTTTTGCAACTGAGTGGTTTTGTTTGACTTGGAGAGTCCGTTCATTGTCAACTATGCATATACACATACCCTTTCTTTTCTCTTCCAAAAGTTCGTACACTGCAAGGGTGATCCAATCCAAGATACTTTTTCTTGGTCACATCCTTTGACCTTTCGCGGGATCCTTTTGGACAACAGACTGGGCAACAGAGTGAGACTATCAGACTGTCACCTTTGACCTTTGCTTCAGCATCAAGTCTCCTAAGTACTCGTATTGAGACGTATCAAATCTGTGGGCAAAACAACAGATTCTGAGCCGAGACAGCGGAAGAACCAGGCCGATTCTGCAAAACACCCGACCCATTTACAGCCTGGACAGTCTTGTTAGGTCAGGCTTTGCGGCCTCGGTCCTGGACTTTGTGCATGCAGGCTGGTCCGGCGTTTCTTTTTCGGTCTCCCACTGCTCGGGTCCACGTGGTTTGCAATGCATGAGAGCATGATCCAGAGAGCGGCCTGTTTGGCTTGGATGGTGTGGGCCTTATGACTTGCTTTCTTGATCTTTGATCGACCTTGAGGATCATCAACGCCCGCGCGGAGTTCTGTTTACTCAGAGTCATCCATACCCGTCTCAACCTAAGCCAAGCACGCCACACTTTCGTCTTTGGAGGACTGAGGACGCCTGTTTTTTGGTCGAACCACCACGACGCTGAGGTGGTGGACCTCCTCCATCTCGGGCCTCCGCTCCTGCTACGCAGCTTCGCATGTACAGGAGCCTGTCGCACAGACGGTCAGGGCTGTTTGTTGTACCGCCATAGTCACAGCATATAGTCTATATAGTACAGTTATCCCAAGGTTTGCTGAAAGTGGAAGGTATTTCTCTTTTCAACAAGGTGTGGTACAACGTCAAGGAGCGCACCCCAAGAATTTACGAGCGTCCAGGGGATTTGGCGTCCAGGGGATTGGGGGAAGTCTTGTGTTGCTTTCAACTTTCCACAGAAGGCACATGCCTCCTGGTGAGTGTTGAAATTATCTGGAGCAAGCATGGCAAGATACTTTCCAGTATCGGCTCTGCATTCTTGATTGCATTCCCTGCAAGATGTGACTACCCTGCAAGCTTGTGTGAACTGAGGTACAACACACTTGATTAAGATTAAGGTTCTATTGATCCAGTCCCCTCAGCAGTAGTCTTACAGCCACTCAGCCCCCAAAGAGTGCAAACCATGGTGCAAGATCAATCTTGTATGGATCCTTGGGATGGTTTGCACAAGCCTTTTGTGAAGGCTCATGCCGAGTCACTATGCCCAAGATACACGAGACTGTCTAACTGCCATCCACGATGCTGAGATGAGAGGACCAGCTACATTTGTGTCGGACTTTGTCGGCCCGAGCCCTGATAGGGTGAACATGCCATGAGACGATCAATTTGGCGAATGAATCCGTCGTCTTGGCTGCGCGAGCGGCGGAGGAAACAAGTGATGGTACTGTTTTTAATATATTATATATTTTTCATCCTTGCCATTCCATTTCATTTCATGGCTTTCTTTTCTTAATCTTATAATTCAATGATTCATTCTTTAATTTATATTGGAATGAAGGTCATCGACTAGTTGTCTTCTTATTATATTTTGGGCCAACTATTATTTATTTATCCTTTTCCTTTTTGTAAGTTATGGCGGCACCGTTGGCCCAATTAAATTAATATGAATCTGAGAAAGGAATTGATTTTTCAGGCGTTCGCGCTCCATGAAGGTTCTTGTGGGTTCATGGTTGGCATCGTTTCAGCGTTGTGCCTTTGGATTCTTAGGGCCTAAAGGGTGATGGCGTCATGGGTTGCCCATGGCCTGCTTGGCAGTTCCAAAATAGCGGCCCGTCACAAAGCTACATTGCCGGTAGGACCTTCACAATGTGCAATTTTCTGTGCATGCCAATCTATTTGCAGAGGGGCGGCCCATGCGCCTTGGTCACTCTAGTTTGCTCACAATGTGTTATATTCACATCTCTATATAGACCACATGCCACGTAACATCTTGCTCAAAAGATGGCCCCCCAGCCCCAGCCCCTGGCCCCACTGGGGTCGTGCAAGGTCCTGACAGCTCTATGTCGGCCAGGTCTTCCACTTGACCAGGCTTGTGGGGGAGTGTAGGGTTTGGTGGAGATCTGCAAGGTGTTGCAACTCTGAGCCTAGTAATTTCGTAAATTTGGTATACTTTTGAGCAGTCAGAATAATTAGAATGCAATGCAGCATTCTTGGAGATCATTCTTTTGTTCTTCCCACACACTGTGCTGGATTCAAAGGGTGAAGAATTCCAACCTTGCTAGTCCTACCTCTTCCCCAATTCCTTACATACTCATGATTTTTCTTATGAATCACAAAGCAAAGGGTGGTGATTGGAGATGTAAAAGCCCCCGACAAAGGAGCAGGGTTTGTTGGGTCGAGCTCTGGCCGCACCGGTTTGGCAGTGACCGAGGTAGCCTTCTGCTGATCCTTGATTTCACGGAGTTTGGCCCATCCTTGCCAACTCGCAGCCTTGCATGCCTTGGATTCCCCACATTGGCACCGGATTTCATTCACCCAGGATTGCTGTTGTCCCTCCGGTCTTTTGCCAGACTTGGATTTGCGATTCCAGCGCTGGACTTTGCGCACTTCGGACTTGCAACGCTTATCCGGAGCTTTGTGAGGCCTGGCTTTTTGTTGTTGGCCTTTGGCATGGGCTGGTTTGGCCCGTCGTCCCTGGTGCCTGACTCCGTACAATGTGGGTCCTTGATTCCAGTGAGGTCACTTGTGCACCTTGGTCTTGTGGCTTTTGTCGTGGATTTTGCACACCTTGAATCATCTCTGTCCTTCCGGAGCTTTGGTTGCTCAGGCTCGTTTTCACCAGTGCTCGATCCCAGCCACTTAGAGTTGTTTCTGTTCCTACAAGGTCTTGGTTGACTGGAATCAGTGGCGCCCGTCTTGGACTCCATTCATCTTGAAAGCTTCCTGTTTCTGAGAACCTCCAGCTGTTCGGGCTTGCTGCTTTTGATCTCAGATTCCACGCACCTTGAATTCTCTTCATTTTCAAGAGGTCTTGGTAGACTCGACTCACTACTTTTCGTCTTTGGGATGAGCAAATTGGAGCTTTCCATACTGGCGCTTGATTTTGCCAGCCTTGACCTGGTTTCGTTTCCAAAGAGTCTCAGTTGTTCAGGACCTGCCCTGCTGGCAGTTGACTTTGTGCACCTAGGCTTCGTGTCGCCCATCAGAAGCTACACTAAGGCAGGATCATCCTTACTGGTTCTCGACTCTGTTCACTTGGGCTCCCTACTGTTCTTGAAGTCCACCAGTTGGATGGGATTCCCACTATTTGCATTGGATTCTGTGTCCTTTGGTTCCGTGTTGTTCGCACAAAGTTTCACCTGCTTTGGCTTGGCACTGCCAGCCTTGAATTTTATCCATTCAGAGTCGGTGCTGCTTCTTCGGAGCCATGGCCATTTGGGACCGGTGCTGTCCACCGTCGGCCTAGTCTGCACGGGCTCATTGCCTTCGGCTTTGGGCATCGCAACTCCCGGACTGCCACTGCCGCCGAGGTCGCTTGCCCGCGCCGGTTCTGTGATGCTTGCCTCAGATTTGGTACATTCTGGATTATCTTTGAGCCTCCGAGCCTTTGGAAGGTCAGGATCCTCCTTGCCAGCCCTGGATTCTGTAACCTTTGGATTTTTGCTTTTTGCAAGAGCAATGGTATGGGTTGGTTCGGCCTTATTGGTGCCTGATCTCATTCATGCGGGCTTCTTCCTGCCTCTTCAGTCTCTCATGTGCCTGGGATCCAGCCTGCCGGTCATGGACCTCGCCCATTTAGGCCTTTCACTTTTCCTCCGCGGCCTTTCCTGCTTGAGTTCAGCACCGTTGGTCGTTGGGATGCTCCGCGCTGGACTGTCAATGTTAGCTCTGGACCCTGCGATCCTTGGGTCTTCTCCACTGATGCAGAGTTTTGCATATGTTGGCACCTTCCTACCAGCTTTGGACCTTGTCCATTTGGGCTTCCCTTTGCCAATTAGGAGTTTCTCGTGGGCGGACCTCTCACCGTTGGTGTTGGACTTTGCTCACTCTGATCCCTCCTTGAGCACCCGAAGTGCCGCTTGCCTGGGCTTTGCCTTGTTGGCACTGGACTTTGTGCATGTGGGATTGTCGCTTCTGCTGAGAAGTCCTGCCAGAGTTGGTTCCGCATTGCCAGCAGCTGCCTTCTTGCATATTGGGAGCTTCTTGCCGATGCATGCTCTCGCGCAGTTCGAGCTCTCCGCACCGACTTTTGGGTCGTCATGCCTCGAGCTGTTGCTGTTTGTTCTAGATCTGGCGAACCTGGGTTTTGCACTGCTTCCTCGCAGTCTCTCACATCTTGGATTGACTTTGCTGGTGCCCGACCTTACATCTCCAGGCTCGTTGCTACTGCCTCGCAGCTCCTCTTGCCTTGATCCAGCGGTTTTGATCTTGGATTTGGTACACCTAGGGCTGCCCGTTTCCTTGCAAAGTTCCACTTGGTTGGGCTTCAGCCTTTCTGTGCTGGACTTCATTCACCTTGGACTCCCATTCTTGCTGCAAGGCTTTGCTTGACCTGATTTTAGTATCTCAGTCTTGGACTTCATCCATTTGGAGCTCTTTTCGTTGTCGCAAGGTCCTGGCAGACTGGAGTTTCTCTTATTCGCCTATGATTTTGTCCACTTGGCATCTTCACCCTTTCCTCAGAGCTTCTCGAAGCTTGACCTGTTCGTGCCAGTGCTAGACTCTGCACTCTTCGGGAGCGTAACGTTGCTTCGGGGTCTCGCACAGGCTGGTCCAGTACTGTCCGTCTTGGATGCCATTTATCTTGGCCCTTTCCCGTCACTTCAAAGTTCCACTCGGTTGGAGCTCTCTTCGTTGGCCTTGGAGCCTACACATCTGGGCTTCCCGCTCTCACCTCGGCAGCTTGGACGTTCCGGCCCATTGCTCTCCACCCATGGAACCGGCAGGTTGGGTTTACTCTTGCCAGTCTTGGATTTTGCTCACTTTGGCTTTATGCTTCCAGCACGCAGCCCCGTCCGAATGGACCCTGCGTTGTTGGCACTGAATTCGGTGCACCCAGAGTTCTCCCTGCTTCTTCGGCAACCTTCCTGTGTTGAATTATCCGCCTTTCTCTCTGGTCTGTCATGCGCAGGTTCGCTGCTTTTTGCTTCGGACTTTGTTGAACTTGGCCTGCCGCCTTTGCCTCGTGGCACGGCAAAGCCAGGCCCTCTGCCTTTTGTGCCCGATTATGTGCACATAGATTTCTCATCATCTTTGCATGGCCGTGCATGGCTTGAAAGTGTGGCATTGGTCTTAGACATAGCACATGTGGGCTCCTTGTCATCACCTCGAAGCCCTGCATGTCCGGGCTTGGCTTTCCCGGTGCTGGATCCTGTCCTCATGGGAT